TTTTTTTTCAGAACATTGTGTCCTTTGGGAAAAGTAACGATTTTTCGGAAGGAAAACCGTTTGGAAAAGTAACGACTTTTCGGAAAGTAACGACTTTTCGAAAGGATTATCGTTACACGTGAATTTCAAATAAATTCAGTTGCGCCAAATTAATTTTGTTAGTTAACTAGCATTCTGAATTAATTTATAAGAGAAAGGAAATGATTTAACAAGATTGATTAAATAAATTTTGTCCAAAAATATTATCAATCAATTACATCATTTGCCGAAGCCGAAGCCGAGCGACGACGGCGCGAGGGGGCACCTTCTTCTTAACCCTTTAAGAATTAAAGGAAGTGTTTCCTAATATAAGGACAACAATTTCCTCTCTTCTACCAATATGATAAAAATGACTATTCATTTGCACTTTTGCAATGACTTTTCATTTCCCTCCAAAATTGGTTCCCCCATTTTCATTAGTTCTTCCACTTTCCATTTTCTCTTTTTATTTCCCATTCACACCTTACTAAACCAAACAATTTACAAAATGGAAGAGCGTGCTTGAGGAGCTTCTTGCTTTATGCGACGGAAATTGCAGAATTCCCATCCGTTACTTCTCTGCCATAGAGATCAATAATGCAATAAAACTCTCTAAAACCACAATAATGGAGCTTAACGAAGTGGATATGGTTACGGGCTCGCTGGACAACCGCCCTGTTTTAGTTAGATTCAATACATGGAAAGTCAAAAATATCCACCGAGATATAGCGATTACTGCTCAAGTGAGTCATCTGAAGAATGTGTTGAGACTTGTCGGTTGCTGTCTAGAATTTGAACAACCAGTTATGGTGTATCAATATGTTGAAGGTATATCTCTTAGCGATATACTTTTCAGAAAGGATAATCTTATTAGAAAATCGGCATTATCTTGGGGAAATCGATTACGGATTGCAAATGAGGTTGCTTCTGCAATCGTTTTTCTGCATACCGAATTTACTACGCCCATTATCCACAGAGATTTGAAGGCTCAGAATGTGATAATAGATCAGAAGAGCGGTGTTGCCAAAATAGTAGACTTCTCATTGTCCATATCACTGCCTCCGGGAGAATTGGAGGTACAAGAGGATGCGATTTATGGAACACATGGGTCTATGGCTCCAGAACATGCCATATTGGGTATTATTACTCTAAAAGTTGATGTCTACAGCTTTGGGGTTCTTCTCTTTCAGCTGTTAACCGGAAAGACAGTGCCAGATATTTAAATGGATAGAGTGGATTCTACAACTTCAACAGAAACAATAGATTTTTAAGAAGAAGAAGACATTACTGAAGAGGCAAATACTTTGTACAGAATAGTTATTTCTAACGAGACAGACTATTTTAAATTTGTCAATGGTTATATTAAAGAGGGTAATGTAATGGATTTAGCGGATCCTATCATTTTAGAAGAGCATGGAATTGAGATTCAACAACAAGTGAAAGACTTCTCCGATCTTGTTAAAAAATGCACAGCTAGCAACAAAGATGATAGACCATACATGATTCATGTCGCAAGGGAATTATGTCGAATTGAAAAATGTTTCCGTGCCCTCGCTCTTGTTCAAAATTAAATGTTTATTTTAATTCTTTAAAGTATTCATATTAGGTTCCAATTTAAAGGAAATTCAGTTTGTTTAGATTGTCATATTTATGTTGAACAAAAATGAGATCTGCAGACAATGAAATTGATAATTTGATCTTTATTTTGCAAACTGTCTTTATTGTTAACAGAATCTTGCCATTTTCCATGTTAGACCTGATACCTTAGCTTTCCCAGAACATGGGCTTATTGGTTTCAGGAAATTGAATTCCATGATGGTAACTATGCAAAATACATAATATGTTGGACAAAATAATAATTACACCTAGGATAATGTCTACACTAAATAGCAATAGCAAGAGAGTAACAACGACACCAAATATTAAAATGGATAAATATGATACTCGAATAAGTAATAAATAATATTGATGAAAACTTGGTAGACTTAATATCTCATATGGTCACTCAACTTATACTTCTTTTCACAGAAAGTCACTCAAATTTCATTTATAACCTCAAAATCACTTAACTATGGATTTTTCTCACAGAAAAACACTGATCAACTAATAGTTCTTTTCACAGAAAGTCACTCAATTTTGTTTTATAACCTCAAAGTCACTCAACTATGAATATTTTACCTACAAAGTCACTCAACTATTGATATTTCATTTTGAAAATCACCCAACCAATTTAAATATGTTTTCATTAAATTTTGTTTTAATACAATTTTTGTGTCATTTTGACTATCAACTTCCACAAATATTATAGCTATCAACTTTCACTATGGCTAGTAATTTCCACAAATATGACAGTCAAATTAGTTGCTGGCCTGTTCCCACATAATATAACAAGATAATGCTGTGAAAACTTGTGCGCGATTGTTTAATATAGTCAATATCTTTGGATCATTAGTTAATGATCGAGGGCAAGCTAAATAAACTGTGATGATAATGGATGTTAATAAGCTAAAATCAAATTACTACTAATATATCTAGCTTGTTTGACCAAACTTTTAAAATTTGTTTATTTTGAATTTTTTTTTGTTAGAAGTGTTTTTCGAAAAATTCTTTTTAGAGAAATAACTATTCGTATTTGATTAATCAATTTGAAGAGTACTTTGCTAATATTAGAGCAATACTTGTGCTTGATCAATATTTCAAAAGTGCTTCAGATATCTATTTATTTGGGGGTAGGTTAAGGAGAAGGGGCGAGGGGGTAGGGGTGGGGGTAGTAAATAAGAGGAGGTTTAATTAATTGTCAAATATTATTAATTCCGTGATTCTAATATGCACAAATTGATGGTTAGAGTTTGTACGATGTCATTGTAGAGCAAGGAAAACATTATGATTGAAACTTGCTGCTTTTTGAGTCTTAGGCAATAATATAATACTCCATGAATTATGCTTAGAAGACAAGAATAATGGTCCGACTTTAGGTACAACCAAAGCCATGAGGATTTGAAACCTCCGTTATGAAATTGTCAAGTCAAACCATCTGAGTCACCTCGAGTATAATGTATGAGGAAACAAAATATTTGATACTTTTGTGTGCACAAAATAGAGAAGATAATGCTTGATTATTTCACTACAGATCATCAACAAGGACAATTACATTAAAAAAAAAATCAAATGTTATGATCAGAAAATATATAGTAAAAGATAAAATTGATCAATGAATAGAACGTTTGCAATCATTTATTAAAGCTTCTTGAGATATGTGACGTTGCCAAATTTTCTACTATGTTGAAAATATTGCTCTTAATATCTTTAGCTTTTACAAGCATCTACCTTATTAGGGGAAAATTATTTATAAGCCTAATGAGGTAAACTAATTACCTAGTGTATATATATTCAGTACCAAAAATTGGAGGCCTAAAGTTTGGTGTTTCAGTGGCAAGAAAAAATCCAAAATAGTTCCTTTATGGAAAAATCACACCATATACACATTTAAGAGACAATATTACGAGTTTTAAACCTACTCTTAAAAAATTCTTACTTATAACAGTTTAATTACGGGTTATAACATATCAATTAAATTTAACTTTATTTAAAAATCAATTAAAATTTACTTTATTAAATGATTAATCTTTTTATATTTTTATAATATTAATTATTTAATTATATTGATTGCAGTTCCTTTTATATAATTAATAGGAGAGAGAAATAATATTAATGAGAGAGAATCAATTTGTAATTATCTATTACACCTTTTAAGGGATATTTTAACTTATTCAAATAACTTTTATTTATTAATGACTATTGGGGCCTTTAATTATTTAAAAAAAATAAAAATTATGACCGTATATTTTAACATGTAATTTTCTCTCTCTTTAATCTATTTTTTTTGCTTTTCTTGATATTTTTTTATTTTAAATTTTGATCTTG